TGCAAGCAGTTTCCCCTGTTATAATGCAATAGGGCTCCTCATAACCTGAAATATATTTATAAGGTATCATAATACAAAGGCTGGCAACATGGACAGTCTGATGTGGATTATATCCACATTTTCTGGAATTGCCATAAACTAAAATAACACCAGTTCTTAGTTCTGAGCAATTTCAAAGTAATGGTGGGTTATAACTTACCAGATCATGCCATAATTATACCGTACTTAAAATTATTTTAAAGACTACATGGAGGAAGGAGATGCTGAAATGATTGCAGTACTGCTGACTTCAGCTAAATTGTCCGTTTCTAAATACCCCATCTGAGTGGTTTTATAGGGTATGGGTTTCAGCAGCTATGTATAGAATTACATACTACAACTGAGCAAGAGAAAGCATAAGAATTGAAAATAAATTTATTGAAAAATATGCAATTTTTACCATCTTTTGTAGTGAAAAATTTGTAGATGTCAGGCTATATTTGTTATTTTTGCTAGTTTAAGGTAATCAGTTGGACAGACATATGTTGGTTTATAGCTGAAAGAATTGTTTTTCTGCAGTTTTGCTTTACATAGTTTAGCTATGCATACTTATGCTGTGCTATATAATTAAATAAATAAATATCAGAAACCCAAAAACTTAATAGAACTTTCTTCCGAGGCAACCTAACAAAAAATTGGAAACCCTAATATGTGATAGCCTTTATTCTGGACTGTCAATCAGAACCCTTTTAGTCTCTGACTCCATTCATCCCTGGCATGCAAAGTGCCCTTGGCATTCATGTTCCATTGGCACAATGCCCCTTAGCTCAGGTGACGACTTTCAAGAGGAAGAAAGAAGTTTGTCTATCTGCTTTAAGAAACAAACAAACAAAAAAGAAGTGTGCAAGAAGCTCGTGAGAGTCAAGTGGTTCTTAAATGATTTATTTATGGCATTTGAAAATGACAGAAAGAGGGGAGAAAAAGGATGCACAAATTGCAAAATATTACCAACTTTATAGAGGAAGGTATAAACATGTGCCAGTGTTCAGACATGCATACAGTGAGGGGAGAAAGTATTTGATCCCCTGCTAAATTTCATAGAATCATAGAATCATAGAGTTGGAAGAGACCACAAGGGCCATCGAGTCCAACCCCCTGCCAAGCAGGAAACACCATCAGAGCACTCCTGACATATGGTTGTCAAGCCTCTGCTTAAAGACCTCCAAAGAAGGAGACTCCACCACACTCCTTGGCAGCAAATTCCACTGTCAAACAGCTCTTACTGTCAGGAAGTTCTTCCTAATGTTTAGGTGGAATCTTCTTTCTTGTAGTTTGGATCCATTGCTCCGTGTCCGCTTCTCTGGAGCAGCAGAAAACAACCTTTCTCCCTCCTCTATGTGACATCCTTTTATATATTGGAACATGGCTATCATATCACCCCTTAACCTCCTCTTCTCCAGGCTAAACATGCCCAGCTCCCTTAGCCGTTCCTCATAAGGCATCGTTTCCAGGCCTTTGACCATTTTGGTTGCCCTCCTCTGGACACGTTCCAGTTTGTCAGTGTCCTTCTTGAACTGTGGTGCCCAGAACTGGACACAGTACTCCAGGTGAGGTCTGACCAGAGCAGAATACAGTGGCACTATTACTTCCCTTGATCTAGATGCTATACTCCTATTGATGCAGCCCAGAATTGCATTGGCTTTTTAGCTGCCGCGTCACACTGTTGGCTCATGTCAAGTTTGTGGTCAACCAAGACTCCTAGATCCTTTTCACATGTACTGCTCTCAAGCCAGGTGTCCCCATCTTGTATTTGTGCCTCTCATTTTTTTTGCCCAAGTGCAATACTTTACATTTCTCCCTGTTAAAATTCATCTTGTTTGTTTTGGCCCAGTTCTCTAATCTGTCAAGGTCGTTTTGAAGTGTGATCCTGTCCTCTGGGGTGTTAGCCCCCCCCTCCCAGTTTGGTGTCATCTGCAAATTTGATCAGGATGCCCTTGAGTCCATCATCCAAATCGTTGATAAAGATGTTAAATAAGACTGGGCCCAAGACAGAACTCTGTGGCACCCCACTAGTCACTCTTCTCCAGGATGAAGAGGAACCAGAGGCTTTTCTTTTAGGGATTACAGGAAAGGAAATAAGAAGAAAGGACTGTAAACTTTTCCAGTTACAGCAGCAAGAATCTTACTGGCCCAGAAATGGAAACAAGAGGAAATACCAACGACAGAAGAATGGAGAATGAAACTGACAGACTATGCAGAACTGGACAGACTAACTGGGAAAATCAGATACCTTCGAGACCAAAAGTTCATCGAGGACTGGGGAAAATTTGTGGAATATCTGAAAAGTATATGTGATGTGCAAACAACGCTAGTGGGGTTTCAAGAAGCACTGTGAAATTTGAGATGTATTGCTAGAAAGAAATAGATAGTGGGAGGGAAGACTAACGGCAATATAAAACATAAGAAATGCGTAATTGGGAGGTAAATATGGATGATTGTCAGAGAAGCTGAAGGAAGTCCAAAAAAAGATAAGATTGTGGAAATTTGGATAAAATTGTATATTTGTGTTAAAAATCAATAAAAATTATTATAAAAAAAAGAAGAAATGGATACTAACTGGAACAGAAACATTTATGGGAATTTAGAACCTAGTTCCTTTTCATTTGGAGAACTCTTTGCCACTTCTACCCATTGGGGAGTACTGCAAAGGGTCATTCTATGGTCATTAGCTAATTCCTTACACTGTAACTTGCTTATTTGGTTGCTCCCTGTGATCTTTGCATTGCAGTCCAGAGGAAGGCAGACTGAGGGTGCAAGTGGCTTCACTGATTCGGAATCACCACATTTGCTTGTGTGTAAATCCCATTCAACTCAGTGGACTCTACTTTTGAGTAAATAATAATAATAATAATAATAATATCTTTATTGTCATTGCCCCCTTCGGGGACAACGAAATTACTTGACTGCTCCATAAAAACACTAATTAATCAATACAGTATAATACAGCAAGGGAGATTAGATGACTTTCAAAGTCCGGGCTTCCCATTCAGGGCCGAGATCGCTCTGGAGAAGAAGCTGTTCTTAAGACGGCTCGTTCTTGTCTTCATCGTCTTGTATCTCCGTCCCGACGGCAAGAGCTCGAAGAGACAGTGACCAGGATGCGATGGATCTTTTACTATGTCCAGTGCCTTCCTATGGCACCTTGTGGCATAAATCTGCTCTAAGGTGGAGAGTGGGCAGCCAACAATGCTCTCTGCTGCCTTAACAACCCTGCACAACCCCATCCTGTCCTGGGTAGTACAGCTTCCGTACCACACACATAAGCCATAAGTGAGCACGCTCTCAATGGCACAGTGATAGAAGGCAAGCAGCAGTTTCTGCGGAAGATGGTTTTTCCTTAGTATTCTCAAAAGTACAGTCTCTGCTGCGCCTTCTTCACAAGCCCCCTTGTGTTGACACTCCAGGACAGATCCTCTTGTAATTCAATGCCCAAAAATCTGAACGTTGTTACCCTCTCCACACAGACCCCATCAATCAAAAGTGGCTGGACATTGCTCTTCTGTCTCCTGAAGTCCACCACAAGCTCAATATTTGGCACAATATTTGGTTTTTTAAAAAAAATGTGGATGTGAAAAGAAGTGTTCAAGTGTCACTGATTCACCCCAGTCCCTGGGTATTTGCTTACAAACTGCTTACTGTAAGTTGATATTTTAATAAATACATTTGTATAAAAAACCCATTTGCAGTTTCTTTGAGCATGTACAGAGTATTTTCCAAATCTTCAATTTAGGGGATTGAAATAAACAGAGGAGCTTTGTGGCCGTAACTGACAAAATGTTTTCTCAGAGGGAGAGAGACCTGTAACCCAAATGCACATCAGAAACATTTATTGAAAGCTAGTGGGATTTTTTAATGGTACCTAGTATGCCCTTATAGGTGAGGAATACTAAGGTGAGATGGACTGTGTTTCTACTAAAATTATAGTAATTTTAAATTTGCATCTATACATACAAATTAACACATTAGCAAATCCCTGCCTTCTTTGGATTTTGTCACTGATGCTATACTTGTAAACTGCATAGAAGCTATTTTGGCATATAAGTAGTATATAAATTTAATAATATTAATACAACTGGCTGTCGCAAAGGTCACCTGCACATAGTCTTTCCTACCAAGGAACAGAGGCGAAGCACCCTGCTCCGGTACCTGCCCGGGGGCGTGGCGTGCGCCAGGAGGCTATTGCAAGCAGCTGCAAACGGGGAAGCGGCAGGGTGGGGCGGGAGGGGGGTCAGGGGGCTATTCCTCACTCCTGACTGGTGGAGGGCATGCTTGCTGGAAGGGATCCGTGTGCCTGTTGGGTTTCCCCAAATCTGAGTCCCACCGTGACGCTTCTTAGCTCATCCTGCTGAGACTTGCCTTTGCCAGCGCCTGTCCCCCTCCCTCCCCAGCTCTGCCGGAGAGCTGGAGCTGCAAAGCCGCGCGCGGCCGATGGCGGGCAGGGGGCAGACTGTCACCCCATCAGGATGGCACCTGGAGCGCGCCGCACCCGCCACACCCGCCTTGCTCTGTCCCTGCCAAGGCAAGATGCAGTGTGTTTCTATTAAAAATATACTAATGATTTCTAAATTTGCATCTATGCATGCAAATTAGCACATTAGCAAATTCCTGCCTTCTCTTTTAAATAGCTACTGCAGATGAGCAGATCCAGTTAGGATCACTGTCTCTGTGGTCACTTGCAGGGCCGGCCGATCTCTGGAGTTCTGGCTCAGATGACTCTGGATAGTTGTTTGAGCTGTGGGGCTCTTAAGGCCCGACTCCATATCGCATTTTGAGGCCTTTACCAAACAGGAGACAGTGGAGCCTGGGGCTACGTGGCCTCCGGCTTATGTCACCCTCGGCTTGCGACTGGCGCAAACCCATAAGTACCAGAATGGGCTTCCGGCTTCGCGCCTTTCATGCACACGCATAAGTGCTAAATCGCATTGCGTGCTTGCGTGCGCAGACGCAACACTTTGGGTTGCGTCTTTTTCAGGTTGCGGCGGAGCCTGTGGGACGGATCCCCGCCGTAACGCGAGGTTCCCCTGTACTGCTTTCTCTAGGGATATGCCAGCCAGGCATCACAAGCTGGTTGGTTATTCTGCACACAATATCTTTCCCCATTTTCAGCAGAGGGCTCTGGTCCATCTTGGGATTCTGCAATTTAGCCTCTTTGGAAAGGTCAGCTTTGGAATTTAGCCTATTAATCAAACTATGGACAATTCATTGCAGGCAAAGTGGGAATTTAATTGGAGACTTAACCAGAGGAAACACGGTGTATCCTTTTAAGCTCGCAAAGCTTATCATTGATAGAAACGCTAAAAGAAATCACGAGTCATTGCTAGCAGATTCCCCCGATCAAATGGAGAAAACGACATAGTGTGTGTTTGGGAAGAGACAAAATGCGGGGCGGGGGGGGGGGGAGAGACAACAAACCATTTAGAGAGCACTTAATTTGTAAACAAGCACACTTTGTGGAACTCTCTGGACAGCATTCAAGAGCATAGTAACAGATTCTTTTGCAGCAAAAATTTGGAGATTTTCACCATTGACCTTAAGCAGTCCCAGGCAGTAATTTAAAATACTTTATTACCATGGCAGAAACCCAGGGTGCAATTCAGCCATAAAGATAACTTTAAAGTCTCGCTGAATTCAGCGAGAGAGATAAAGATGTGCTTAAATGTATCCCACTGAAATCAGGGAGAACGCGTGTGATTCGAAAAGTACTTTGTTGTAGCTGCAATAGTGCCCACAATATTGCTGCCTGCCACCCCAATCTCTGAGAGGCCAGGGGTTCCAGGCTCTCACCCAGAGCCCATGTTTCCTTTTGGAAATGAGGTGCGTCGGAGACTGCGGTCTTTTTAGAATATATAGTTTATTGGCACATGGAGGGGCTCCCAGCATTCAGTCCTCCTTGGGTCTTGCGTCCTCCACAGACGCTTCCCAGTCACAGAACTCCCTGCGCTCAGCTTCTGGCCCACATTGCTTTTCTTCCTCCTTCTCTCACCTAAGCTCGCAATATAGCATCTTTGTGCACCTTTTAGCTGGCGAATCGCAACACAAAATTCAGAGAAGTGCACATTTTGAAGAATAGCTGTATTTCCATTCACTTATTGGTCTGTGAAGTATGAACTGAATCGGTTCACATTAAAAGACAAACTGAATGACTTCCTCTTGCATGCCTAGTCTGACAATCTTTTAATTTCAAGTGCTTAATATGGTCATGAACATGTGATTGAACAGCTTTTGAATCATAGAATCACAGAGTTGGAAGAGACCACAAGGGCCATTGAGTCCAACCCCCTGCCAAGCAGGAAACACCACCAGAGCACTCCTGACATACGGTTGTCAAGCCTCTGCTTAAAGACCTCCAAAGAAGGAGACTCCACCACACTCCTTGGCAGCAAATTCCACTGTCAAACAGCTCTTACTGTCAGGAAGTTCTTCCTAACAGTAAGAGCTGTTCGACAGTTTTTGAAAATGAGGGAAACCTACAGTTTGGGCCTCAAACCCCGATATCCACTTAGATGCTCTTAAAGAAACAGATCCTCACTATTTTGTTCCTCTCTGTATTTTTGTTTCTTTTAGATGCTGCATTTTTCTCATCAATAAAACCACCTGGGGGAAAAAGATTTCATACATGCTTATAGATCTTGAGGGTTCACCCTCTTCACAGCGTCCTTTCATCCCTTTTCTAGGGCGAGAGAATGCATATTTACAGAGTGGGGTCATTCCAACCAAGCCTTTTTAGTAAATAGATACTAGTTTGTCCAGAAATGTTACCTAGGGTATCTAGGCTCTTTGTCCTTCGATTTAATTTTCCCTGAAGCAGAGCCGTTTATTAGTGCTGTTTAACACAGTGGAGAAAGTTTCAGCAGCGAGGGAAAGGAAGGCAGGAGGAGGCCATTTTCTCTCCTCTCTTCTCGTCCGCTTTCACCCCTGGGAGCCCGGCGTAGTGAGGCCAGGCTGGCTGCAGTCCTGCTCCAGAATGGAAGGAGGAGAAAGGAGAAAGCCAGAGAACACCAATTCCCAAAGCGCCAAAAGGGTTTATGAAGCACAACGTGTTTGGGAATTGAGGAATTCCTTCAACGATGGCAACCTAGAAAAACATAAAAATGGATACAGCCGCAAAGTCCTCCACAGATTTCTAATTACTTTATTCCATATTGAGGAAGCCTCAGTGTAAATTATTCCCATCTGCCGCTGGGGATAGCACAGTTACAATGCTCCATGATTTTCTATACTCAGAATGTGCTGCTTGGATTTAAAATATTAAATCAAGCCATTTTGGCTTTTAGCCTGGTTTATGAAGTCTCTTGGCTTTTTTCTTAATTTTGCACAGGGTAAAGGCCTCCCTGCCACTCCCCCCCAATGCCCCTTGACTGACAATAAGGAAGCCATGCTGATGTTAACAGCGGGGGGGGGGGGGGAGGCAGAGTACCAAAAAAACACTTCACTTGCTGTAACGCAGCAGTCATGTGAAGACCTCACAGTTGTCTCATCCTCTCCAGCGGATCATGTGCAAAGCTGCTGCTTCCCCTCCTGGGTCCTGGAGAGCCGGGGGGGGGGCGCCAGCAGTACAATTCTCCTCACACGTGCCTGTAGGACAACCTCAAAATATAGACATCAAGAAATGGTGCCGCTGTTGGTGACTACCTGCAGCTGACTCTGTCATTTCCATTCCAGCAACTTGTAGAATGCCTCAGGCTAAAACACTGCTTGTAACCTGAAATTTCTATTTTATTAACCTTCTTCTTTATCTAATAGTAGTCTGTCATGTTCTGGGAGGGCAGAACAATGCTCACCTGATAAGATGTCTCCTGGGAATGCAAGCAGTTCAGAGAAATGGAAGCATGCAAAAATTGTGCCTCCTTCAGCACAAATGCAAAAATACTCTTCTGAAATACAGTGTACTCCTGTGCCCTCAGATGTTGTTCTTCCTTTTTATTAAAAAGTGTGTCAGATGTGGAGAACTGGTCCCTGGTAGACTCTGTTAGCACACGACGTCACTTCTGAACTGGTCCGGTAAGTAATTTGGACTTAAAAATTATGGATGTTTTGGGAAGGTCAATATAGAAATGTGTGTATGGAAGTCAAATATAGGCATTCCCATGTGGCAGCTACATGTGCTGCCAGTTTTGGACTAACATTGTTTTACCCAAACGGCTAGAAAAGTAGTTCTATTTTTTACCAAAGCAGCTTGTGTCAAAAGCGCAACTTGGCCAGGCCGACTCCACACGGAACAGGTATGGGTTGATGGCGCATGTGAATTGCATGTATGGGATGCGGTACAGATATGAACTCATCCAAACCCTAAATGGAGAAGTATTCCAGTGCATCTGCTTCACTGCTATTTGTGAGTTAAAGGCATGCTATGTTGAAGAAATACAGCACTACTAATTGCAGCTCTGTGTACTGTATTTAATTGGAACTGAAGATGGTGTTGTGTATTTGCTGTGCACACTTTCTGCACGTTGTTTTATACATGACACATTCTCTGACCAAGGCAATTAATCCGCACAAGAGAGTTACAAAAGGGAGTGCCATATCTTTCAAAGGACTACACTGTGGCCTCTTTTCCACTTTGCTTGATCGGCATCCTAGTCTGCCCTGACCACATAGCATGGGCATTTCATGACTCAGCTGAATTAAGCACAGATGCCATTAAATATTTACTTTCTGCAGCAGAATGCAGCCGTTCAGGGCTAAAAAAATTCTGCCAGAGAAACATAAACAGTGCAGGGCTCCCCAAGTTGTAAGTTCCCAGATGGTGATGAATAAGTCATGTTGTACCTTGGGCCTAATTGCTCTAAGTTCTCAGATACTTGCAAAACATCAATTATACATTACAAGCTCTTCTTCTTAATGGTTACTTGCCAGCATTTAAAAAGAAAAGAAAAGAAAATGTAGTAGAAAAGAGCATTTGAGATGCAGGGAAATGTTCTTTTAACTCTTTGTTATTTGTTAAAAAATAGATTTTGGAAGCAACCCCACTGTAGTTCACAGCCACTGGCCATGACAAATTGGATTTGGGCTTAAAGCAGGGGTCCGCAACCTTTTTCAGCCGTGGGCCGGTCCATCGTCCCTCAGACCATGTGGTGGGCTGGGCTATATTTTGAAAAATAAATGAATGAATGAATTCCTATGCCCCACAAATAACCCAGAGATGCATTTTAAATAAAAGCACACATTCTACTCATGTAAAAACACGCTGATTCCTGGACTATCCGTGGGCTGGATTGAGAAGGCGACTGGGCCGGATCCGGCCCCCGGGCCTTAGGTTGCCTCCCCCTGCTCTAGCCCAAGGCATTCTTGCTCCAGTGCTTGATCATGAATGGCCACAAGTTCCTCCCTTCCCAGCTCCACTAAAACACACGTCTTTAATGAATGCTTACAATGGTGCACTTGCATATTGCATACATGTGCTGTATGCACAATGCAATGTACACAAAAGATTGGAGAAGAGATAAAATAGTCATTCTTTGTGAAATAAATAGCAAAATATGTGAAGTGCCCCCCTGCCAAGTTGGCCAAGTAGATGATAAGTTGCTGTAGGTGCAAATGGTTTCTAAAGAGAGTAGAAGGGGCGGTACTTTCCTGAGCATCCTGCCTCTTGTTTTGCCAACCACAGAACCACACGGCTCCATACCCACCTGATCGGGGGGGGGGGGCTGATCAGCTGAAGTCTGCAGCACCTAAAGCATGCCATGGTTCCTGCTTTGGCAGCAAAATGCTACCTGTCGAGCCCAGGAGGTCTGTGGTGGGATTCATTGCCTGCTTTGGAGTAGAAGCCAGATGGCAGCCCTTCCACAGGGCCCAAGTCCTGCAGCAAAGGGGAGCCCCAAGGCCCGGAGAAGAGGTGCCATGGGCAATCTTCCCACTCCCCCACCCATTCCCAGGCCACAGATCCCCAGTATTTGGTTATTTGTTTTTACTTAGCATATTTATTATTTACCCCTTAACAAAGGTCCCATGGTAGATTATTGCATGATCAAAACAGTGGAATACCACAGGCAGTAAACAATTGAAATCAACCAATAAAAGCCTGTTACCATGCCTGTCTCATTAACTTTGGGAACTGACCAGACAAATTGCTCCACCAGCTAAGAAGGGCCATGTGCCACCCCCCACTGAATTGAAACAGTGACCCATCTGTCATAGTACCTTTCCGTGCCCATACCTGGCAAGGTTTCCCACATTACGCACAGCCATAAAGCCCACAAGTGAGTAGCCGCCCCTGTGGAGTTTATCTTACATCCTACTCCTTGGCCTGTGACCCAGTCTCATGGTGAATGAGTGACCAGAGGTCAGGAGGATGGAGCTTTGTAGTCTCACCCCAAGCTTCGTTGCAAAATCTCATAACAGAGCCAAAATCCCAGCGCTCACAAAATTTCACTGCCCACCATCTTGTGATGGCTGGGACCTCCTGACCTTCAAGACTAGCACCCAGAAGGCTCCCTGACTCTTCCCTGGACTGTCACATCTCTTTCACTTCTGTACAGCACAGTCTGGATATTTTGGGGGGGGGGGGAGTGGAGGGCTTTTTGCATTAAATGATCACCAAGGGGGGTTCTTTTCACAGGTCACTGACAGGTTCATAAAAGGGATTTATCTAATTCTCATTCTATTTATACACATGTAGTTTTTGTGATGAATTTTGCTGAGCTTTAGTTTCAAAGCAATTTATTACTGTTTCATACTGAAACAGAGGAGGGATAATGAAGATAAACTAGTGTTTCTATTCAAAGGCTATTTAGTCTGTTTTAGTAACATAAATTTCCTATCTTTTTTTTTAAGAAAAAGACACCCAACTTTTCAATCAGTTTTACAAGGACCAGGACTGCCATTTGCCTTGCCTTCCCAAACAAGAATAAATGTACCTCTTTGGCCTAGTCCTACAGAACAGAACAATAGCATGAGTAGATTTAATTGCAGATCTAAAAATGGTTTGCCAGCTGCTGCCACTGACAACTGTTTCAGCTTGTGCCCTCTTTAATTAGCATGTAATGAGCAAGCAGACATGTTCAGACTGCAAAGAAACATTGGTGATCTGTAGAATGATGGTTATGATGCAGAAACATTGGCTATCCCAATGGAGGGATTTTTTACTGTGACCTGATAGAACAATAATGATGACAACAACAACTATTGTTAATTTCATTAATTTATGAGTTTCTTCTCACAAAGGAGTCTCCAAGCAATTTACAGCCAAATAAAATGCAATACATAACAATATATCCATTAAAATACAAATGGTTTAAATATAAATGTTCATTTATAATGAATAAAGATAGAATTTTAAAAAACCACCCCACCCCAACAGAAAATCAATACTGAAAAGGCTGTTCTCACACTGTTACCTTCCAAACTTCTTTTAAAGGTGGCATGCAGAAACTAGCCCCAGGTGACTATTGTAGTGTCCAGGTTGTGTCCAGTTCTGGGCGCCACAATTTAGGAAGGATGTTGGCAAGCTGGAACGTGAGCAGACAAGGGCAACCAAGATGATCAAGGGTCTGGAAACCAAGCCTTTTTTAAAAAAATCTTTTTTTCAATACAAACAACAACCCAAAAAAAATATACAACAAACAAAAACCACAATAACACTAATAACACAATTTAACAATTCACATTTGGATACACTGATATACCTATAACTACACCTTTTTAACAATATTTCCCCACCTCTCCTCCCCCTACTTCCCACCACTGTCCGCCTTACCGCTTAAGTATTCCTTCCAGATTTCTTCATATTTATCCATTCTTAATTTGTGTCAATATGCAATTTGTTTGTATGTCGCTAGTCTGTCCATATTGTCAATCCATGTGCTCAATGGAATCTTTTTGCAGCTCTTCCAATTCATCAAGACAAGTTTTTTTGCTTCTAATATGGCACGATACATCCATTTTTTTTGACCCCTTGTAATCTCCCACGTTTCCGGTATATAATTTAGAATTAAATTCAAATCCCCTAAATAACAATTTCTTTTTATTACTCTTGCTATATATATCCTCACCTCACACCAAAATGATCTTATCATCGGGCAGTTAATCATCATATGTACTAAGTTCGCATTTTTACTTCCACATCTCCAGCAGTTGTCTGCATTTGTTATTTTCTTCTGGTAAAGTTTTGCTGGAGTCCAGGGGACTCTGAATATTATTTTCTGCTGAATAAGTCTTAAATCCATAGAAGCTATTTCTGTTGATTTTATACTTGACTCCCATTTATCATTTGTTATCTGTACCCCTAACTCTTCACTCCATTTTTGTCTGTCATATTCTAAATCATATTTCTTTCTGTTGAGTAGGGTTTTATATAGTGCAAGTGTAGAGTTCTTTGCTTTTGTTGCAGAAATTAAATCTTGTAGGTGTTTCCAATACTGCTATAGCCTCAGGGCCAAACTGCCTTTCCAACATATGTTTCAATTGGATGTATTGCCATTGTGTTTCACTGGTTAATCCATACTTTACTTGCAAGGTCTTATATTCCACAAATTTGTAATTTTCATCAATTAATTGATTCAATGTCAAAATACCTTTTTTCATCCAATTTTGCCAAATTATTACTTGATTTCCAATTTTTAATTTTGGGTTGGCCCATATTGTTAATTTCTCATGCTGAAAGGGGTCATCCTTATTATTTTTATTTATATTCATCCAATTTTTTATAGGTGCTTTAATAGTCTCCAGGATAATAGGATATTTCATAAAATTGCAGCCCAGTTTACTCCACCCTAGAAGAGGTTCAAAGAAACTATATTCAAGAGTAGCCCAATTGGGATTCCTGCTAGCTCTCCAATCGTTAGTCTTACTCAGCAGGTAGGCCTGGTGATATAGTTCCAGATTTGGGAGACCAAAGCCACCTTCCTTAGTTGGAAGTTGCATTTTATGTAGTAATATTTTTGGTGGCTTTGTACCCCACAGGCACGATCTAATTAGTTGATTTATTTTTTGGAAGTAAAATTTGGGAATATGTATTGGTAATCCTCTGAGAATGTATAAAAGCTTTGGAACAACATTCATTTTGAGGACATGAACCTTTCCCCAAAGGGAAAGGTTTAGAGGTCCCCACCTTTCAATATATATTAAAAAAATCTCATTTATAATTTGATTCAAATTTAATTTTACAATTTGGTCTATATCCAATGAAATCATTATACCCAAATATTTAATAAAGTCTTTGCACATCCGAAATTGATGGTTTCTATATAATGTAGCCCTTGGCCCAATTGGTAAAATCTCTGATTTTGTCCAATTTATAGAATATCCCGATATTCTGCCAAAGGTTTTTATTTTCTCCATAATTTTTGGAATTGTATCTTCTGGTTTTGTAATAAATAAAAGGATATCATCTGCAAATAATACAATTTTGTAATTATCTTTGTTGTGTTTTACACCCTTGATATGCTCATCCTGAATTATTGCTCTTGTTAATGGTTCCAGGCACAGATTAAATAATAATGGAGAAAGAGGACATCCTTGTCTCGTTCCTCGATTTAAACTAATCAAATTTCAAATTCTTCCGTTTGTAACAATCTGGGGCGTTGGGTTTTTATAAATCATTTTAATCCAATTACAGTATTCTATAGGGAAACCAAACTTACGTAACACAAACCCTATGAATTCTTTATATATTCTGTCAAAAGCCTTTTCTGCATCTAATGACAATATCATAAACTCCTCTTCATCTTTATTTAAATTTATCAAATCTATTGTTAATCTGATATGTGTTTCCTTCCTTGGCAGGGGGTTGGACTCGATGGCCCTTGTGGTCTCTTCCAACTCTATGATTCTATGATATTATCTGTAGCTTGTCTTGTTTTTTATAAAACCTGCTTGATTATTAGGTATCAAGTCTTGAATAACTTTTTGTAATTTTGCCGCCAATATTGCATTCAAAATCTTTGCATCAACATTCATTAATGATATTGGTCTATAATTTGCACATTTAGTAGGGTCTTTGTTAGGTTTTGGTATAATTATTATTAAAGCTTCATTGAATGTTGTAGCAGATATACCTTTATGAGCTATTTCCTCATAGACTTCTAGAAGTCTGGGGACTAGAAGATTTTTGAATATTTTATACCATTCTATAGGAAGACCGTCTGGTCCAGGTGATTTCCCATTACCCATTGTATCTATTACATTCTCAATATCTAATATATTTAGGGGTGCTAATAGCATATTTTTTATATTCTTCAATAGTTGGTATTTTAATATCTTGAAAGAAGTTTTCCACCTCATCCTCTGATATATTTTCTGGCCCTTCATATAATTTTTTGTAGAATTTAAAAAATTCATTATTGATATCTACTGATGAGGTCGCTGCAGTGTTATTTTCATTTCTTATTAAGAGTATTATTTGGTTCGCTTTCTTTTGTTTTAGACAATTAGCTAGAATTTTTGTCGGTCTTTCTCCCTGTTCCCAATATATTTGTCTTAGACTTAGTAGGCTGAACTCAGTTTTTTGAGCTAGTATAGTTTTTTCAGCTAGTTCAGTTCTAATGTTAGTTGTTGTATTCTTTCATATGTAATCTTAGATGGGTTATTTGCCCCACAGTGTTTTCAAAGAAGTTTTTAGATTATTTTCTTTTAATCTTTGCAGCTCGGCTTTATGGGCAGAGAAAGATATTATCTTCCCTCTGATGTAAGCTTTATATCCTTCCCATTTCATCAGTCTTGACTTTGAAGATTTGGAGTTATTTTTAAAATACATTTGTGTTTCTTGGGTTATATATTGAATAAAGTTTTTTTCATTGAATTATGATATATTAAGATACATCTCCTCATGCCTTCCTGGGTTTTAGATAAATTATATTCCAGTATTATTGCTGAATGATCAGCTATAATGGGAATATCAATGTCACATTGGCTAGTAAAGGTGCTGAACATGATGCTGATGTTAGGAAAAAGTCAATTCTATGCTGGGTATTATCAATTTCTGCATAATATGTATATGATTTTTCCTTAGGGTGGTGCAATCTCCATGAATCCACTAAATTCCACTGTATCATATGGTTATTAATTGTCTCTCTAACCTTTGTCCTTTTTTTCCTGGCTACTGAGGTGGTATCCATCTGTGGATCTAAAATTTCATTAAAATCTCCACCCATTATCAAGTGCTGATATGATAGAAGGCTTAATCTCTTAAAGCAGGTGTGAATAAACTTATGATCATCAGTGTTTGGGGCATAGACATTTACTATTGGTATTTCTGTCCCTTCTGTTTTGATTACAATGATTAAACATCAACCATCTTCCTCTCTTATTATATCTTGTATTTCATAAGGCCAGCCTTTCCTAAATAAAATTGTAACTCCCCTCGCATTTTCGTCTAAGTTTGTTGAAAAAATTTCTTTTACCCATTGCCATTTCAAAGTTTGAGCCCCTTGTGCTGTCAAGTGTGTTTCCTGTAATAGACCTATATCAGCCTTTAAACGACTGGAGGTATTTGAGTGTTAGGATTTGTTTTTTCTTTTCCTTTAACCCCTTGACATTCATACTTATAATTCTCATTATGGCTTTCCTCTGTATTTTATCTTTAACAAAATTCTTTGAAAGGCCTAATAGAAACCAAATGTACTAAAAATTATTATCACTCCATCCTGAGTCATATATTAACCGTGCTTATGTTTAACATATGGATTGCAAAATATATGAATAATTAACATTCTTACATATCCAAGTATATATAAGGCAGAGTCTACTTGTTATGTCTATAGACACACTAAAGTTAACTTTAAGTATTCCCAATCAAATAATTATTATTTGAAAATATTCAAAGAAGGAAGTAAAGAGAAGGGGAGAAAGGTATAAAGTAGTTCTATCAACAGTAAAAAGGATTCTGAATGGGTAGGCTCAAATATATACCAATAGCCAACAATTAGTAATATAATATCAGTACTAACAGTAAAAAAAAGAAAAAGAAAACTACTTAACACACTCAACAAACAAAAAGCAAACAAACAACAAAACAACAACAAAAACAGGGGGAAAACCCCAATATACGACTTCCACTTTGTAGAAGACGCAACATTCACTGCTTTGAGCTCCTAAGTTCACATCTATGCTCCTAAGTTCACATCTGGAAACCAAGCCTTATGAGGAATGGTTGAAGGAGCTGGGTATGTTTAAGCTTGCAAAAGAGGAGACTGAGAAGAAATATCTTAAGGGCTGCCACATGAAAGATGGAGCAAGCTTGTTTTCTTCTGCTTCGATGGTAAAAGCTGTTCAACAGTTGAATGAACTCCCTTGGGAGGTGGTGGACTCTCCTTTCATGAAGGTTTTTAAGTAGAGGTTGGATGGCCATCTGTTGTGGGAGCTTCAGTTCAGATTCCTGCATTGCAGGGGTTGGATTAGATGACCCTTGGGTACAATCCAGCTCTACAATTCTATGGTTCTATATAGGGTGTGGTGAAAAGTGATCCTGAAAAGACAGGCAATGTTTTACATGATACAGCATGGGAAGTGAAAATGTTGCACAAGTAACATCTGCGTTATTGAGATTGTTGAGGCTGTTGTATACACTTTTATAACAATAAAAGGGTTTCTGAAGACTCTGGTATAATTAAACATGGAGAAAGTAAGTTTTTGGGCGACTAGGTTAGGGTTAGGCTTTATAGGTCAAAACCAGCACTAATTGGCAGCCAATTAGTCAGAAGTGCTGGCACATGCTCTGAATGCCTAGCTCCAGTCCATTGCCTGACCACTAATTCTGAGCCAGGTGATGCTTGATTTGTAAATAAATGTCAAATTGATAGACGTCTTTAGAACTGAACTCTGATTATAGGATTTTAAAAACTGCAAAGAGGGGTTGTGAAAATGAACTCAAAGGCAAGACAGCTCAGTATTAGAACAAAAGTTTTTGTTGAGATTCCTTCACTGCTGGCGGTTGGACTGGATCACCCTCAGGGTCCCTTCCCATTATACAATTTGATGATTCTAGGATTCTATAGTCAGCAGATATGAAGAGCAAAGGCTCTGCAAGCAATTCAGGCAGTTCACACAGGGTGACTAAGGTAGATCCAGTGCCACAACAGGCCTAAAGCACAAATGAAACGATCTAGAAGATTGGTTTCACCAAAAATTGATTGACAACCACTGATCTACAGTATATGGTCTCTGGTTATAACGCATACCTCTTTTTCTGCCCACACTAAGTACACTTGTGTTGGGCAAGGAAGGATGTTCTCAGTGACATGAAGCTGCTCCTCTTTGCCTTTAAGGACGACGTGGAAGCAGAGCCTCTATTTTCTCAGATTATTTCTTCAAAAGACTTATATGCACCTTCTCCAGTAATGTTGCTGCCAAAGAGAACAGTTTGGACGCTAAATTATTGAAAGCCAGTTGCCAAAAGCCAGAGTAGGATCCAAGTTATGAGTACAGCCTCACAGAAGGAAATCTAAATCTTTTGAGAATTTTAAATTATGAGCAGCTACATAACAAATTAAACTAAGAAATGTTATTGTTTGAAACCAGCCATTCTTTCCAGCCTGGGCCCTTTACC